AATACTAATCACTATAAATTTAGTTAAACTTTAGTAAATTTGACCGGCACGATTCCCACCAGCTTGTGCCGCCGCTTCCACATGCTGATAACGTGTGTGTTTACGTACTGCGTACGTTGAGTAGAAGTGCAGACACATAAAAAACAATGACATGCCCAGATACGCCAAAATACTCGTCTTAAGAAATGTACCCGTCCCTCTTGCCAGTCTTCGGTACCAAACAGAAAAGACAGGGACCGAACACTGAAGTGAAGCCTGCTGGGACCGGGGGAAATTGGGGAGCTGTTGAGGTGACAGTGGTGAACTTGCTTTTGGCTCTCAAACAGGAGCTGGTGATGAGTGGTGGTGGTCAATCTTAGACCAGACAGCGGTAAATGGTTTGACCTCAACCGTACCATGGGCTAGAAAAGGCAGGATCGGCCAATACGTCGCGACAGCGTCGATGGGCTACGGTGACTTTCGTAAGGTTCAGGCGTTCAGCGAGTCTATGGCAAGTGGTGTTCGGTGGTGTATGACAAGCTTATTGCTCAGTAGTCAGTCCAGCGATTGGAACTTGACCAAACATTAGTACTCGAGTACTACTACTTATTAGTCAGCTTTGGTTATGTAAGCAATGGAATAGAGAAGATCGCGTCGCCTCCTCGTGAGCCAGCTTGCTTTGATCTCGATTGACTTTTCCGCGCCTTTTTTTTTTTGGAAAGCCTTCCGGCAAAACTTTATTGATTCAATAATGTAGCTGCATCATTTACAAGTAATTGGAGGATAGAGCTAGGGGGATCATCTATCCAAACAAAAAAGCTCTTTTCTACCAATGCTAACCCTGCTAGCTCATGTGAAATCGAATTACATTCCCTATTACAATGGCTAATAGAAATAGCAGCAAACTCTTCCCAGTACTGGCAGCACTCTTCGTAGATTGCTGCTGCCGCAGTAGCTGAGAAGCCTCCTTCCTTCATCGTCGTGACAACTTCCAAGCAATCGGTCTGAATCTCCACGCGAGTGCAGCCAATCTGTTGTGCTAGCAAAAGACCGTCCCTGAGAGCAAAAGCTTCAGCCGTAGGCGCAGCCACCACGTGCGGAATATAGCTGTGTGCTGCTACAATGAAACCGCCAGCTGCATCTCTGATAACTGCTCCGGTGCTTCCTGCTCCCTTAGCTTCATTATAGGAGGCATCAACGTTGATCATTAGAAAACCCTCTGAAGGTTTCATCCAATTCCTATTAAGCACAATTTCCGTGCCTTTTGTTAATAAACTACAGAGTACAGTACAGTACAGGTCCTTTTCTGGATTCTCCATGTCAACATGCATCATCCATGATGCCGTTTTGGCATGTTGCATTATTCCTTCGGTTTGGTTTTGTATATGACGCCGCGTATCCGCGGCTTTTTCTCGTCCTGACAAACAGATTTTTAGCGAGCAGAAGCAGCAGATGCAGTGGAGAACGACGAGCGGCTGCCATACGAGTCATGACTCACGCCCCGTTTAGATTCCAAAAAATTTTGCGCAGTATTCATCACATTAAATCTTGCGGCACATGCATGGAGTATTAAATGTAGACGAAAAAAAAAACTAATTGCACAGTTGGATGAGAAATCGCGAGACGAAACTTTCAAACCTAATTAGTCCATAATTAGACACTAATTACTAAATACAAACGAAAATGCTATAGTAGCCAAAATCCAAAAAATTTTAGATCCAAATGGGCCTCAGCCACTCAGGGCCCGGCAAGGCGGCAGCGCTGTTGCTATCCGCAGTGCCTCAGCAGTGGGCAGTGTGCCCTTCTAGATTCCCAAGCCGGGCATGCATGGCAGCATGACACGACCAACTGATGTTCGATCGAGCGTAGAGTACGTACTCCGTACAGTATTTTCCCGGTTCGTTTTGCTTGTTTTCTCCATGGGGCCCAGTGGCCCACGCGTGGTCGCATGATCGCATCCATCTACGCGGTTTCGGCCTTCCGGGACCTCGGTTTCGCTTGTTCGTTTGCGGCCCCCGGGAGATTCCACCCGGCGTCGGGGTCGGGGGCGCTGGCTGGCCACTGGCAGCAGCAGCCAGCGCGGTCCGGCTGTCGCCTGGCGGTTCACACGTGCCCGCGCGCCGGCCGACGGCGTCGTGCCACTGCCACTGCCACTGCCACTGTCATTCCCCGTGCACGCCGGCCGGCCGACCACGCCGCGTCGCGGGTCGCGTGATCGGATGCCGATGCGACCTGCCGCGCGACCACAAGATCTCAGTGGCGGTCACGACACGAGGACACGAACCCGCGACGTGGCGCACGCAGTATTTTTCCGGGAACGGGAAACCGGCAGCCGCCGCGGGTGGCTCCTGCGTGCCTCGCTTTTGGGGCGCCCAGGGGGCGCCTAGCTAGCGCCGCGGTCGCCGCGCGTTTCCACGGTCTCGGCGTAGCTTCACACCTGCTCGTCTCCACGGTCTCGCGCTGCTGTTTTCGCAGTCAAAGCGAAACAGTACGACGAGCTCCCCCCTCTAGATGGTGGTGATGGAAGTTCAAAAAAAAAAGATGATGGTGATGGACCGGACCATGAGCACTTTCGAGTCAGAAACGCGACAAAGCCCACTGTGGAACGCACGATCAGAGAGCCCATGGATGTCCAAGCGGCCTGGCCCACAGTTTTGCGGGGCTCCCTACCTGCCAAAAGAAGGCAGCCCACCTACACCGCCACCGGACGGGCATGGCCCAAACGAACGAGCCGGCAGATTTGTATTTAACTATTGCAAGTAATCTGATTTCGCTCTATATAAATATTAAAATATAGGACATCTTACTCCTTAAGTATGTAAACTATTTAGATTAACCCACTGCCCATATAGAAGTGATTTTCATAGCAGTTTCATCGTATTTTTAGCTAGAAAAAATATGGTAAATACCCATAAGGTTTTAAAACCGCAAAAAATGTCTCTAACCTTCTAAATTTTTGAGAAAAATCCTAGAGGTAGATTGGAATATGACAAAACCAAATAAAGCATTTAAAGCTCGTAAAAGTATCTCTAAAAGCTTTCAAAAATAGATTTAACTCTATAAAAATGGAAAAGTATCACAGAAAATCTAAAATGTTCTCAAAACATTCTAATAAATAAAGGTATAAATAAGTTTGAAATTTTTACACAGCAAAACATGAGATATAATGCATTCATGCTCGTAGCATCTTGTGTTTTTATTGATAAAAGTTTTTATTTTTTCTTAGATATAGATTAGAATGTTTTAGGGAATTTTTAACTTTTTATACATATTTTTCCAATTTTACTAGATCTAAATATACATGTTTTAGGGATTATCACGGTTCAGCAGTCATCGTTTGCATTTTTTTTTGGCTCTTGCTTACCAGCTAGGCAACGAGCCAGTTTTTTTTCCGCGCAAAAAGCGGAGTTACCTGCTAGTTTATTTGATAGCCGTGGATGACAACAAAGACACCGCTATCTAATGATGACCGTCCATCTCAAATCATGGATGATGCTTGAAGTGACTAGACGCCATAGTGTCCTGTGTTCCATGAAGGATAAAAGATCAAGTTGAGCCAAAAAAAAAGGCTAACTAAAATACACTTTGATAGTTCAATACAAAGTTTAAGAACTAAAATGATTATTTTGATAGTCTAGAGTGATATCGAAACAAATTGAGCACTAAAAAAAATAATATTTAAAGACTGAAAAAAGTTCATAAACGAAATTCAGGCTCGGGAGGCCAAAATGAGCCAATTGCCAAATACTTTACTCCAGAAGTCGAAGCAAGGCCGACCGACCATATATAAACCCTCGGCCGCAGGCCGCAGGCCCGCACCGATATAAATCCTCGGCCACAATCTTCCCCAACCCCGGGAGACCTTTCATCCGCGCGGAATACCAATTCTCGCACGGAGTCTGAAGGTTGGGGTACGGCATTGCTGGTCACGTCCCTACAATTCTCCCGCGCCTCTCCGGCTTCCTCTCCCACCTCCCCCTGCATTGCTTGGTGTCGCTGGTGCTGTTCTTCCGGGCTGGAGGAAGACGAGGTTAGTGCATCGGGACTACGAAAACCCCCTTTACGCTACCTTGCCGTTTGCCCCTCAGTTCTTGCGGCGGTTCTTGGAGAAACTGGAACAACAGGAGAGGTTTTAGTCAGCTTTTGGGTTTTGGAGACGGCTCCCTGGAGACAGGGCGGTTCTTGGTTGGGGATGCGTTGGGTTGTCTCGTCTTTTCTTTGTCGCGGAAGCTTGTGGGAGATCTGACACGCTTCACGGAGTAGGTTTCTGTGAGCTTTGGTTCGCTTCTTGGAAACAGCGGTTGTTGATCATTGGTTCTTTCTGGTATGTTAAAGATTTTGTTGGCGAATATAATTGCTGATTCTGCTAGTCAGGACCAAATCCGTTCGTTCGTTCGTTCAATTATTTGGAAATTGGAATCACTAAGTGGGGAAATGCGGGTTGTTGGAAAAGAACCGTTCTTGGTGGTACGTTCTGGCGTGCTCGAGATTTTGGTGGGTTTGGTGGAGATTAGAGTTGCGATTGACAATTCTGTTAGTAAAGATCAAACCCGCTGTTTTAATTTGGAATTGCAAAATGGGTAAAAGACGAATTTGAGCAGGTTGCTGGTTCCTTATTTGTTGGGTGGAAACAGACTAGCAGAGAATGGTGCAAGATTTTCGTTTCTGCATACACTGTTCTTCTTCTTTGCTGCCGTGGCACCGCTTTACTCGTTCTTTCAACTTCTGGCAAAGAATCACCTGCATATGTTTGGAGTTCGTTAAGTTTGGAATTACGAAATGAGGAAATACAAATTCAGGTAGATGCTACTTCATTTCTGTTGGGTGAAAGCAGACTAGCAGAGAATGATGCAAGATTTTCGTTCTGACGTGCACTACTAGTCCCCATTGTTGCCGTGATACTGGTTTACATCGTGTTCATTCAACTTTTCAGAAAAAAAATTGCCTACATTTGCATGCATCTGCTTAATCTTGCTGTGCAATGAGTTCCAGTACCTTGTTCTTGCTGAAGGAGACAAGAAATGGATATAGAGGAGTGCAGGAGGAGGTTGCAGGATAAGGTCTGGCTACTTCATCCAACGAATGCCGAAGGGATCGTTGACTACATGATTGCAAACATAGCACCTGAGGATATCAGATCATATTTATTAACTGCCACAAATGGCACATTATTGAAACTATTTGAGGGTGCAAACCGTTTACAAAAAATCCTGGATTTGTCCAAGGAAAATGAGGAGCCCCTATTTGGTCCATTCCGTCCCTTTGATCAGATTGGACCACAGAAGCAATACCAGTTTCCTTCAAGAAGCTATTCTCAGGTCCTTCAGGCTCCACTGCACCCCATTGGTCCAACTGGAGCTTTTCAGAAACCATACTCTAAACTCATTGGCTTCGGGGACCATTCCCAGTCTTTGAGCATTCTTGATGATGCCATGCCAAGTCACTACCAATGTGCTAGTATAAATGTTGATGGCTATCCCAGTAATGCCAAGGTCCAAAAGCCTTGTCGCTTTTACTTCTCCTTTGGAAAGTGTAAGTATGGTGAGAACTGTCGGTTTTCCCATGTGTCCGGTTACCCTGAGATTAATAACATGAGGCAAGTTCACCACCTTGGGTCATTGCAAATGTTGGAGATGGAGATCAGGGATCTCCTGTCCTTGCAGCCATCATCACAAGTGTCAGTTGAGCATCTGCAAAAAATGTACCTTGAGACGTATCCAAAGCCTCTAGAAATTGAGGGATTCCATACAGAGGGCCAGAAGAATAGGAAGGCTGGTTGCGGCCTCACAGATCTGCTCATGCAACTTAACACCATCAGAGTGATTGAGAGGTTCCTTCTGATCTTAAGCATTTCAGCTAGTTTTACTTTGCATTATTGCATAGATGTTTGGTTTTTACGTTGCCTTATGTTTCTATCATTAAGTATTAAATGGCAGAACTATTTTATCTTTTTTTCTAATAAGTGTTTTGGATATTTAAACTTCAGACAAGGAAGGCATTATGTTGTCCTGGTGAAAGATGCTCCTATGTACTTCACTCATGGTTTCGAATCAGTGATGCCTCCTGCTGGCAGTGATTCTAACAAGATTTATATTACCTTCAATCATACAAGCACATTCACTCACACAGATGTCCAGAACTACTTCAGGTGTCCCGTCTAACTTCAGTGCTTGATGCATTTTGACTTGAAGCCTCTACCTGTTATGTCATTATGCAGCTGTAAGCCTGTAAATAATATTTTTGTGATATTTCTACCAGTCAGTATGGTGCTGTTAGTGAAGTGAGATTATCAGAAAAAGAGAGACACATGTATGGTCATGTGAGATTCCTGGACCCTGGGACGGCAAAACGGGTCATATCAGAAAGGGGCCCTCATTTCATCTGTGGAAACGAAGTTCGTGTCAAAGCTTTCAGGAAAAAGTATAAACTGGAGTAAGGATCTTATAATTGGTTGTTTTCTGTTGCCTACTGCTATGTAGTGCCACACAGTGTAAGCGTAGTAGCATACTGCGATCGTTTTTCCATTAAATGATGTCTGTTGCATGGTTTAGCAATTAGCATGTTCATGCCTAGAATCTTTATTTTTAACCATGGTCAAAATTTTACATGGGCTTGTTTTTAAGTATTCTTGTAGCTGTCATTCTCACCATATTGATCAAGAGGTTCCTTCTGATCATAAACATCTCAGCTAGTTTTGCTTTAGAGAGATGCTTGTTTCTTAGGATACCATTTCTCTTATTAATTATTAAATGGAACAACTGATTTAATTTTTTCTAAGTACTTTGACTATTTCAACTTCAGACAAGGACTGCATCATGTTGTCCTGGTGAAAGATGCTCCTAAGTACTTCACTCATGGTTTTGAATCAGTGATGCCTTCTGCCAGCAGTGATTCTAACAAGATTTATATTACCTTCAATCATACAAGCACATTCACTCACACAGATGTCCAGAACTACTTCAGGTGTCTCGTCTAACTTCAGTGCTTGGTGCATTTTGAAGCCTCTACCTGTTTTGTCATTATGCAGCTGTAAGCCTGTAAATAATATTTTTGTGATATTTCTACCAGTCAGTATGGTGCTGTTAGTGAAGTGAGATTATCAGAACAAGAGAGACGCATGTATGGTCATGTGAGATTCCTGGACCCTGGGACGGCAAAACAGATCATATCAGAAAGGGGCCCTCATTTCATCTGTGGAAACGAAGTTCGTGTCAGAGCTTTCAGGAAAAAGCATGAACTCGAGTAAGGATCTTATAATTGGTTGTTTTCTGTTGTCTGCTGCTTATGTATTGTTGTCACACAGTGTATAAGCATACTGCGATCATTTTCCATTTAGCATGTTCATGTCTATAATGTTATTTTTAACCGTGGTCCAAATTTTACATGGGCTGTTTGTAGTATTCTTGTAGTTGTCATTCTCAAATTGTTTTTTTGGAAAGTTTAACTTGAGACTTGTTGTGGGTTTTGATTACTGGAAAAGTACAGTGAAGAGACAAGACCATGGACCCCCTTTTCTTATAAGGCCTTGTTTAGATTGCAATTTTTTGCAATTTGGACACTGTAGCACGTTTTGTTTGTATTTGACAAACTTTGTCCGATCATGGACTAACTAGGCTCAAAAGATTCGTCTCGTGATTTACAACCAAACTGTGCAATTAGTTACTTTTTTTACCTACATTTAATGCTCAATGCATGCGTCCAAAAATTGATGTGATGGAGAGAGAGTGAAAAAACTTGGAACTTTGATGTCATCTAAACAAGGCCTAACTCTTGAATTGAGTTCTTCACGTCTATTTCTTTTTATTTCTTTGTGCAATTGAGTACTTCTGTCTTGTTTATACAAGTTTAGGAGTAAAGCCATTCTATTTTCCATTTTAAAATGTGTTGAAAATACAGAATGTTAGCTAAGAAAGATGTCCATTCTAACTGCAGTATACGCGAAGTGTCAGATGTAGATGCCGTTGGTGAGCATCATACAGGCGAGTTACTGACTAAAAGAATACTTGGCTTTGTGTTGTCACTTAGCATTAACCAGACTTCAATGGTGTACTTTGCACAAAATTACTTCTTTTCTTATATCTATTGGATTAAGGGGGGGGGAGGTTGTTACACATGATCTGATCTTGGAAATTTTACTGTAACCAGCAACATTACATTTGCACCAGAAATGGCTTCACCACTAACACATAACCTGCCTTGTCACCCTAGGAATGAAGCAGGGAATATATACCGAATTTTCACTAGTCCATGTTTGTCCTTGTAGTGTTTTTCAGATCCATTTCATTTAGCCAGCCCCCGTGTCACTACCAGGCAGGGTGACTCAGGCAGCCCTCAAACTGGCTGGCTAGGCGCTAGAACCTAGCCCGGGGATCAACTTTCCCAGTTTTCCTCTTTTTTTTTTTCTCGAATACGCAAAAGCTTTGCGTATCATTGTATTAAGTAGAAGAGTTTAGGCAAACATACAATGCACTTGTATCGAGCGCCGCAGGAGGTCAACCTAACACAGACCGTCCCAGTTTTCCTCTTTTGTTAGTAAAGCTTACTTGATTCTGTAACAGCCTGTTTGTTTCGGCTGGATTGGCTTATAAGCCATGGCTGAAAGTACTGCTGGCTGGTTTGGTGTGAGAGGAAAGCACTGTTGGCTGGCTAATAAAAGGCTTATAAGCCAGATACAGGCTGCCGAACAGGCTGTAAATCTGCTAGGTGATAATGAAGTTGAATTGTCGCATGTGCCAAAAGGTTTGGATGAAGCATCAGCAGATCAAGAAGCTTTCTTGATTGCAAATCTTGTAAGTGACAATACAGCAGAATCATCAGGTGTGCCAAATCGTTGGGGCATGACACGAGAAGCTAAAGATGGGTGAGTTTCATTGTTTAACTTAGTGGATTCAGCAACCTTGTAGCCACTACTTGGATGCTTTATTGGTCTGATGGGCACTTTAGTCTTTGTGCAACATAGAGAAAATGAGGTGAATGCAATTAGCCAATTATTCCGTGCGTGAGATTAAATGAATTTAGCAATTCGGATTCTACTGACTATTTTTGCATCTTCTCTTTTTTGTTGTGCGCTTCCCCCACTTGAGTAATACGGCTGTAACATCTCTACTGTGCAATCTATTCTGCAGTGATGACTTTGGGCTTCCAGATGACCTTGGAATTTGACTAGTGTGAGACTGAGGAAGCTTTGTACCACAAGCAAACTCTGACCATCACATTGTACATTACCATAGGACTCAAGTGCAAGTGCTCCTGATCAGTGACTTAGAAGTTAGAACTACGCAGTATAACACATAGTACTTCAAATACAGTTCATTGTTCAGTCGACAAAAGGAGGACATGACATGGAACATTCATACGAAACCTGTATGACCTGCTGATACATCTGGGTGTAGTTGAAGTAGGTCCTTATAGAAACGGTTATCTCTGCAAGTCGTTGTAAAGTTGTGCAGTCTAGTCCAAGATGGAGTAATGCACGCATAACTCTTTACTCTGAGAAAAGAATGCTATATACCACGCATGTTCATTTGTTTATCCGCTTATGTACTGAATCTCCAATTGCTTGATCTTTCATAGTATGGTCTCGCGCTGCTGTTTTCGCAGCCGAAGCGAAACAGTACGAGGTTGCCCTCTAGATGACGGACCGGACCATGAGCACTTTCGTGCCACAAACGCGACCAAAGCCCACTGTCGAACGCACGACCAGAGAGCCCATGGATACCCACGCGGCCTGCTCCACAGTTTGGCGGGGCTCCCTCCCTGCCAAAAGCAGCCAGCCCACCTCCCGTTCCGCAGGAGCAGGAGCAGGAGCAGGAGCAGGACCGCAGTCCGCAGCGCGCCAGCGGCCCATCGCCGTTCCACTTCCCAGCGCACGGCGTAAACCCCTTCTTCTCTCCCCAACTGGCAAAGGCGGTTCCAATTCCATCCCCGGCCAAATTGGCCATTCGCGCGCGGAGTCCCAATTCCGCGGCGAGCCTGCGCGCGCGGCGTACGGCGTTGGTGCTTCGTCGCTCACGAGCCCCGTGCGCGGCTCCATCTCCCTCTACCTTCTTCTCGCCCCTGCGCTGCTTGGCGCCGCATGCTCCTGTCCTCCCCGAGGAAGATGAGGTTAGGGCTTTGTGACCGTAAAGCACTACTCCTTCCTCTTTATCGAGGGGTTTTTCCCGGAGCATGTGGTACAGTACAGTCGAAGTGGTGGTTTCGGTGGCCGGTGGGCTTAATTTGGTTCAGTTCTGGAGGTGTGGGGGCTTGGAGCGCTAGGGCGGTTCGTGGTCACGGATGCGCTTGCGCTTCCTCTTGTTCTGTGATTGCGCGGCGGTCGCGGTGTATCTGGCTCAATAATTGGAGACCTAGGTTTCGCTGAGCTCCGGTTGCCTGTCGGGTCCCGTGGATGGATTTTTTTTGAAAGGAGCTGTTCGTGATCATCGGTTCGTTCTAATGTACTGGCGATTTTAGGGGGTTAATTTGGTGCTGATTAAAGTCACTAATTCTGCTAGTAAAATCTTCGAGTAAAGGCGAATTCTGTCCATTTGTTCGTTAATCTCGGAATTATAAAAGAGGAAAACACTGATTCATGCAATGCTAGTTCTGTTCTGTTGGTGTACACAAAGGATGATGAGTGTCTTTCACTCTCAGTTGTGTTGCTGCTATCCATGATTGCTGGGTTTACTTGTTCTTTGTGCTTCCTGCTAAGGAGCAACTGCTGATGCAGAATCTTCCTTCCCAAATTGCACTGATTTGCAACATCTTGTTCTCTGCTGCAGTGAACATGAAATGGACACAAAGGAATGTGAGAGCTTACTCCTGGATAAGGACCGGCAGCTTCATCCATGTAACCCCGAAGGGATCGTTGCTGACATCGTCTCATGCAAAACACGTGCAGAGATTGGACAACTACTCACCTCGGGTGAAAAATAGCCCCCCTGATTGTTGAGGCGGCGCAACAATTCCCACAGTTACCACCACTACAGCCACCTAACGTGCACCATGGCTTACTAACATTCCCCCATTCACACCCTCATCCAATTGACAGTTTTCAAGGAATTCAGACTCCATTGCACTGGTCCCATTCATGGCCTCAGTCTCATCCAAGTTGCGTTCCTCATGAATTTCAGGCCCCATTCCTCTTTCCCCATCTGCGGCCTCAGTTTCACTCAAGTGGCACTTTTTATGGATTTCATGCTCCATTCCCCTTGCCTCATCCACAACCTCGGTTTGGCTTCAGTAGCAAATCTCATGAGTTTCATGCGCCATTATTACCACTCAATGTTCAAACTGGACCATTGCATTTTGGGCTGCCTCAGTTACATCCAAGCCTCAGTTTTCATGAAATTCATGCTCCGTTCACCCCCATTGTTCCCACTGGCGCTTTTCAAAGCCCATCTCCTGAATTCACTGGCTCTGGGGAACTCATGTTGGAGAAGGAGATAAGAGAACTCCTGTTTTTGCTGCAACCACCAAGTGTCCAGGTCGAGTCTCTTGCAAATATGTACATGGACAGGTATGGAAAGCCTCTGCGAAATGAGGGACTCCTCATAGATGGCCAGCAGCAAGGAAAGGCTGGTTGCAACCTAACAGATGTGCTCATGCGACTTAACACCACCAGAGTGATCGAAAGGTTTCTTGTGATCTTATTCATCTCAGCTAGTTTTACTTTAGATAGATGTTTGTTTCTCAGGATGCATTCTCATTATGACCCTGTCTGTTTCAACTTCAGACAGGGACATCAGTATATTGTCCCAGTGGAAGATGCTCCTATGTACTTGGCACATGGTTTCAAATTGGGGATGCCTCCTGCTAGCAGCAATTCTAATCAGATTTTGGTTGTTTTCATGCCTGGAAGCAAATTCACTGAAGAAGATGTTCACAGCTACTTCAGGTACTGCTGTCTAACTTCAATGCTTGATGCATCTTGAGTCTTGACATGAACCATCCACCTATTATGTAGTTATGCATCTGTAAATAACATTATAATGATATTTCTGCCAGTCATTATGGTACTGTCAATGACGTGCGAATTCCACCTCAAGGAAGGCGCAAGTATGGTTTTGTGAGCTTCCAGGACCCTGGAACAGCAAACCAGGTCTTATCAGAAAGGATCCCTCATTTCATCTGTGGAGATCCAGTTCTTGTCGAAGAGTACAAGGAAAAACATGAATTAGAGTAAGGATATAATATGGTTGTATTCTGTTGCTTGCTACTACACATTGATATTGCATTACCATAATGGTGTAGACCTACTATTACCATTTCCTGTTATATATATATATATATATATATATATATATATATATATATATATATATATATATATATATATATATATATATATATATATATATATATATATATATGTTCAAAATTTTCTGTGAGCTATTCCCTCTGATTCCAAATGCAGATCGTTTTAGATTTTGTGCACAAGAACAAGGAATTGGATTAATAACCTTAGTGCCATTAATTTATTATGTATTGGGAAAGATAACTCATTCTTTTTAATCTTGAACTTCGAGGCTGGCCACATCACCACGCTTGTGCACTATGCAATGGCCCACTGGAGACTAGCTACCACCTATGCTTGGCCTGCCCCTTCGCCCAGGCGGTCTGGAGCCTTGTTACCTCTTGGGAGCACTTTGCCACACTTGATGTGGCACAACATGCAAACTTCAACACCCTAGCAGACTGGTGGGAGCACTCCCTCCACTCTATCCCCAGAGATCGCAAGCGAGCTTTCAATGGCCTAGCTATCTACACAACGTGGAACCTTTGGAAAGAGTGAAATTGCAGGATTTTCAAGAATATCCACGCCACGGCCCTCCAATTGCGGGAAGGAACAAAGAAAGCGTGGAAATCTACAAAAGGGCACATTGTATGCAAAATCAATAGGGACTGGGTTTAGTTTCTTATTGCTGGGGCTCCCTCGCTGGTTTAGGCATGCTTGTTTGGCTCTCTTCGCCTGTATATAAAACTCTTCCTCTTAACTGATAGGCAGAGGTCCTGCCATTTATGTTCCAAAAAAAAAAGACTCATTCTTGTTAGAATGATAATATTTCTTAAGTTGAGTCAAAGATAGGACGAAAGCGTCAAACATGCATAGAAGTTCTAAAACAACCTACATTTAGAGAATACTCCCTTAGTTTTTTCTGACAAAGCGTCTTCTGTGTCATTAGGACAAGGCTTTGATTGACAATTACTTTACTCCACCAATATTTACTTTATGTGATAATAATATAATTATAAGTAAGTACTTTTGAATAAGAATAGAATATCATCAATTTTGTGTCAACTATTAATAGAATAGTAATTATTGGTCAAAGGCTTGTCTTAATGAAATGAAAAAAACCTTATAATTACAAATGGAGGGAGTAGTTGACAAGGCTAAGACGACCTACACTTGGAATTGGAGGGAGTATGTTTTAAGTACTCTTATAACTGTCATTATTCAAGACAGTTTCAGAAAGTTAACTCTACAGTTGTTTACTTGTTTCAACTTCAGAGAGGAACATCCTCCTAAGTACTTGGCTCATGGTTCCAAACTGGGGGTGCCTCCTGCTAGAAGGGATTCTAACCAGATTTATGTTCTTTTCATGCGTGAAAGCAAATTCACTGAAGATGATGTTCGGAACTACTTCAGGTACTGCCGGTTAACTTTGGTGCTCAGTGCATTTGACAGAAGACTGTACTTGTTATGCAGCTGTAAATAACATTATCATGATGTTTCTGGCAGTCAGTATGGTACTGTCAGTAATGTGCGAATTTCACCTCAAGGAAAACACATGTACGGTTTCGTGAGCTTCCAGGACCCCGGAACAGCAGGACAGATCTTATCAGAAAGGACCCCTCATTTCATCTGTGGAGATCAAGTTTGTGTCGAAGCGTACAAGGATAAAGATGAACTAGAGTAAGGACCCCTCATTTCATCTGTGGAGAGCAAGTTTGGTTGTCTGTTGCTTGCTGCTTACATATTGTACCGCCACACAGTGCAAACCTACTACTTCTTTCCATTAAATGGCATCCCGTGCATGGTTTAGCATGTTAGCACCTTGAATCCTTTTTGTTTTCCATGTTCACGATTTTTTGTGAGCTATGTCTTAATCTTGTAAATATCGTTCCTCAAGACGATTTTGGAAAGTTAACTCTACATATGTTTTTAACTTCAGACGCGAACAGCATCATGGTTTTGAATTGGTGTTACCTTCTGCAAGAAATGGTTCTAACCAGATTTTTATTACCTTCGATCCTGAAAGCTCATTCACCAAAAATGATGCTTGGAAATACTTCAGGTATTGCTGTCTAACTTTAGTGTTTGGTGAAGCCTCTACTTTTTGTGGCTTTATGCAACTGTAAACAATACTATCCTATTGTTTCTTCCAGCCACTATGGTCCTGTGAATGATGTGCGAAAGAAACGCATGTTCGGTTATGTGAGCTTCAAGTACCCTGACACGGTAAAACGGATCTTATCAGAAAGATGTTTAAGGACCTCTCACTTCATCTGTGGAGATCATGTTTTTGTGGAACCTTACAAGGAAAAACATGGACCAGAGTAAGGATCTAATACTTGGCTGTTTTTTGTTGCTTGCTGCATACACTGTACTACCAACAGTGAACTTAGGAAAGTTACTGTTAATGGTGGTAAAAAGTTGCTTTTAATTCTTTACTTCTGCACTGGGCTTTAGGCTACTGGCTTACCAGTTTACCACCATTTATTAATTCACTAGCCTTTGTTTATTTAAATAAGTTATAAACTAAAATTTATTTATTATTAAGCTTTTTTAGTTTTGTTAGTTAAGTCCCTGCAAAATAAGTTTATATACTAACTTAAAAACATGAAGTAGTTTGGTATTCGCGGACTATTTCTTTGTCACCTTTGTGCAATTCAGCTGTTTTCTTTTCTTTTTCTTTACATGTTCTGGAATAAAACAATTGTAATTTCGTTGCTTCATGGCAATGAAATTTGGGTTTGTGTGGAGAAAAAAAGTTTCAATGTGTTGAAAAATACAGGATGCTGGCTCGGGAAGTTGCCGATTTTGTCCTTGAACCACATGAGGTGTCAGATGTTGATGTTATTCATGAGCATCATACAGGTGAGTGCTGACTAAACACTTGCATTCGTCATGTGTTGCTACAGGTGCATTTTATAACCTGAACTGTGGCAATATATTTTCCGTCGAGTTATTTCTCTGTCCATCTCTACAGGAAAACAATTATTGAGTAACCATGATTTTTATGGGGAGAAGCTGAATAAAGGGCGCGGTCAAGGAATTGTTACTGAAAAGAGCAGTATTAATGTTGCACCAGTCATGGCTTCACCACCAACACGAAACCTGTCTGTTCATTCTGTTAGTGAAACAAGTCCTTCACAAGGTTGGAGCATTGTCCATGTCTGGCCTGTATTTTGCTGCACCTTTTCCAGTTATTTTTATAGTATAACCTTACCCTTACTTGCTTCTGTAAACCTTGTAGGTGACAATACTGTAGAATCAGCACATTTGTTAAATCATTTGGATGATGCATCATCAGATCTAGACAGGTGAGATTTCTTTTTTATATGTTGGCTACACACAGCTGCCTTGTATTGACTTGTATAATTCGTTGATCTGATGGATACTCTAGTCGTTATACAACATAGTAACACCGAAGACATTCCTTCGACTCAAGCTTCAAATCGCAAATGCAGATAGCCATTTAGAGCTTCAAAATAGTTTTCTTTTCAGATTATTCTAGTATTTGATCACTTTGGACGTTGCTGTGCTGTTGTATATCTTCTCTTTGTTTTGTCACTCATGGACAGTGCAGTCTATTTTGCAGCCATGGCTTGAGGCTTCCAGAAACCCTCGAGGATGTTTTCTGATGGGAGCAACCGAATCTGCCAGTGCACTTGGAGCAGACTGAAAGCGCTACACACTCTCTGATGATGGTTGTTAGTTGAGTATGGCCCTGTTATGACTTGCTGATACATCTAGACAGATACTGGAAGTATACATCAATGCCTAGGTGGCTTAGGTTGTCATGATAAGATCGTTTTGCAATTCTGCTGATGTTGAAGCATCCTTGTGAATCGACAGTAACCATGCAATCTAGTCCAAGATGGAAATGATATATGCAAAGTTAAGTCTCAGCTATGAGAATGGAATGATCCTTGCGTAGTCAACCTGTTCGGTTGCTTTTTGACATCCTCTGTTAATTTGCTGGGTTTTGCTCAATGAATATCCAATTGCGGACAGTTCTGCTGCCTTCGTGTATGCCGAAACATGTTGCTAATAGACTACCAGTGCTGGCCTTGTCACGTCTTCCACCAGTCCGTGGCATGCTACCAAGGTTGCGGTGTAGTTTTGCACCTGGGCTGCCATCTCGACGCTTCGCCGCAGCCTATTCGCTTGCTCGTAAACGATTGTAAATTTTCAGTCAGAATCAGTATTTTTCTCTCACACCAAATCAGCCAAGCAGTAAATAATCCACGATCGTTTACGGCCTCCCAACATACCGAGATTTCCCCGTGGCCTAGTCCACAGTTTTCTTTATGCGGTGCATTACACGGCGTCAGCCGCTTGGGATGGGCCGTACCGTGGGACCTGCGCTAAGAGAAAAGTTTATTTTCAAATCACGCCCTAAGAGACTTGTTGCTCGAGAAAATATAGTTAAGGTGTTTCGATTATTGGAAATCCAGAGTGGAGTTTGGAGTTAAGAGTACTAGGACGACAGGGCGCGCTTCGCTGCGCCCGTTCAGGTTTTAATGCTGTTCACTCCATCCTTAGTTCTTTCTATTCGTGCAAGTCACTGTGCTAATCAATAATCAAGCATAAATTAATCTAAACAAACGCATTATAGGCTATTCAAACCTAGTAAAAAGGTTCTTTCATCAGCATCACAACTAACACAAACAATATCTTGATTACATACATGTATCCCTTGTGGGAAAAAAAATCTAAGCAAGCAAATCAGATCACAAAGAAAATGAAAAAAAAAAAATTGAAATCCTCAGAACCTCTGAACTTTGTTTGTCCTCTAAAATATTGTAGGAGCAACCCAGGCTGAAACCGAAAATCTGCATAGAGGTTGAGGAAAACTAAATCGCTGCAGCACCATGGCACCATATATTAACAGCATCAGGTACAGTTAAAGTAACAGATTGAAAGCATGCATGCACTAAATGAGGGCTGTAGGCAGAACTCCAGGAAATATGAATATAACATGAACTGTAGAGGAACACCCAACTGATAAATTGATTATAGCTTGTCGTTTGTAATCTCTTCGTAGGTTATCCATTCTTGTACTTTTAGAGCCGCAACACATGATACACAACATAAGAGGTAAACAACAATAAACCTAGATGAGTATGCTGGCGGCTGGCCTAATATCAACGTACATATTAACTTTAGAGAAAGACATGATATTATAATTTAAACATTCTAGTTTAAACAAACAAATAACATCCTCGTTTGAAGGAAGGCTCAGTGGACATGGAAACCAATACATTGAGACGTGGGCTGCACATGTCTACTACCAAAGAGGATTTACCTTTTAAATAAATAATCATCAGAGTGACAGGTTTTATTAGCTGACCTATATTTGAACTAGGGCGCTAAACACATAAAGCATTTAATGAAAGCATAAATGCAAAGATATAATTTACGAATGTTATAGCCCAGGCATGCAGACTAATAAGGATAAGTGCAAAGGAAGCACAAAAGCATTGTGAAGATACTCTCGGAGATGAAACTGGAGCGCAAACTCTCCAGAATCAGCTAATCCACCTCAACAGAATGTGTCAGCAGACATACCACCTAATGACATCGCTTTTTCTATAACCAGAAATGGAACCATCAATGCAGGCCTGCAAATCTGGAAAAGAAGCAAAAAGTGCAGCTATTAAATGTTTGTAACTTGCAGTAATAATTCATCTCCAAATGAGCCAATGTAGAAGATACAGACTGAAAACAAATATCTTCTAAGTACTACATAATATTATAGTCAATTACAGTCATGTCTCATGAGCCATGATAAGCAAACCTAAGAAAAGGCCACTGAAAACTGAAGGATCTGAAAAAGTAGTCTTCTCCCATAACCATGTTGATTTTGATATCACATAATGCAGGCAAATAAATCACAGTATAGCGAAATAGGTAGCTAATGTGTTGTTCCTGATTTATCTTGGGTAAGAGACAAAGATTAAGATCAAGTTGGGTAGAGGGAGAATAATTATCTTTTCATGTGCTGGAAGCACGAAAGGTTGTACAACCTTCATTGTCCATGATTTAGCTGACTATATAGGTTTAGGTAGTGTCGGGTTCATAAACCCGGGGTCCCTCATAGACCGGCTTCCCAGCAAAGGCTCGGCCCAGCAGGCGACGTTGCGAACGACGCGTAACTCCTGGACTGGCTCAAATACCTAAACGACAGGCTAGAAGGGCGATCCAATCTCCGACCGGAAGGCCTCGCTAAAATAGGAACAACGCTCGCTTCCGACTCCGGCCCGCCTCTCCAACCGGAAGGCCTGGACAAACACCGCCTCCAACTCCGACCTACATCTCCAACAGGGGATGCACCGAACCCCCTTTACAGCTCTTCTCCGGCTGGCGCAGTCAGAACCGACTGGAACCAACCAACCGGGGACGCCCACTGGGTGAGGACCAGAAAACGGACGGAGCAAATAAGGCAGGGCACTAAAAGTCAACTGCAATACCGAGGATCATACCCTGTACACCTGCAGGACAGTACCCTGCAACCTTCCTGGCGTGTCAGAACCCAAGCAGTGTTGTGGGCGCCGACATTTTCCCTACAGTGTTATGGGCACCACCAACTCCCATACCAGACAAACAAGATAAGGCTCCCCCCACATACCTCTAGGTATCAATAGTGTTGTGGGCGTCGGCATTTACCATACCAGGCGAACATGGTAAAACCCTCTACATGTCTTTGGGCATCAACAGTATGGCAGACACCGACATCTGCCATACCAGAAGAAGACGACGCAACCTCCCACATGCATATGACATTAACAGTGTTATGGGCGCCTACAATCATCTTGTACCCGACGGCGTAGGCAACAAGATTTAGCATACGTACATTCTCCCTCTCTCGCTTGTAAGGCCATCCTCTTCATCTATAAAAGGGGATGCGCTCTCTCCCAAAAAGGAAGATCGATCAGTTCACTAACACACAATAGCAGAACCACTAGGTTCAAACCTCAAGCACACGCTCAAACACTTAACACATAGCGGAACTCCCGTCACTCTCGGCCCTTTCAGACCTGAGTCCGACCGGACCTCTTGTACCCCCATCTTTCTCCCTTCCGTTTGTAACCCCACAACAAACTTCGAGCACCTGGGCTCAGGAATAAAGTCACCGACCGACTCAAACTGGACATAGGGCACGTTGCCTGAACCAGTATAAACCATGTGTCATTGAGTGCTAGGCCACCTCCGATCACAACGTACAACAAAACTACAAATATTACGTGTTGATCATTTTATGCACCGACAGGTAGGCAAAGTGGATTGGACAGTGAGACCGGCAACCTGGTAATACTGGTAGGCACATAGGAAAACTAATGATGACATCCTTTGAAAATTGAAAGTAGGACAAAGGTAAAATCATCAGTCAGTTTCACATGCTGGTAGGTACCTCTTGGCCATGATTTCCAGGAGACTGCGCCTAGAAACCTTGTCAACAACTTTGGAATAGGTAACAGACCCCTGCTGTTGTAGCCAAGTCAAAAAAGGAAACAAAGAAATGCAGTAAGTGATAAACTGAGTGCATATTTTCAGGGGTTAGGGGGTTAGGAAACATGTACAAAAAGAATCCATGCAGGAAAAGAAATATGAACATGCACAAACCCTATTGCAAGACAGAACGAAGAAACAAATTTAGTAGACCATGTTGTACCACTAATAACTAATAAGACACCGACAACAGCAAAGATGAACCGTTTCATCTGAACATTGAAAAAACCTAATGTATCATATTTTGGCAAAAGGGTTGGGCTAGTTATTTCGCAGTAGAGGCAATATATTAAGTGTCATGTATATATACTCAAGAGAAACTCAATATTGTCTATTACAAACTTTGACTCTCTAAAACACTTTGCTAGGAAAAAAGAGTGCTGACAATACATGGCTTCAATAATTTTGCAGATGCACCGGTAGGCATTATGTGATATCTTGAAAGTTCTATTAAACTATAGTAAAAATGAATGTAACAGGAAGAATAAAAATATTCGAAGATCAGAGTAGAAGAAATCACATGGCCATTCGATTGGGAGGACTTGACAGGCTCCTTGGCCCTCAACGAACTTGCAGGTATCCTGGATACGAAATAAAAACCAAGAAATGACCATAGATTAGAGTAGGCACCCAAATCAGGCATACAAATTTCTGAAAGAGGAGCAAGTATTTAGACTGAGAGAAGTAGATGGAGGGAAAAGCTGAAGAACCAAGCAAGGCACAAAGGCTTACCTCGGAAGGAAAGGAGGACGATGCAACCAGGGAAGGCTGGCCATAGAAGGGCCAAGGCGCACCGGCAATCCACCCTTTGCCATCCTCGCCATATGTTTGGAAATCTGTAGGACGCCACTATCCACTACACCAAGGGTGACGGAATCACCCAGGCGTGGACAACGAATCACCCAGGCGTGGACAGCGTGGCCTAAACTCGACCATGACACCATACTGGGGGGCCACTCCGAGTATGCGGCGGGGGGGGCCAGCCAAGGTGGTGGCCAAGGTGAAGAGGAGTGATTTGACGGTGAAAGAGGAGGGAGAGCCAAGAAGGGTGGGTAGGGTAGGGCGCGGGGCAAGAGGAGGATGATGACGGTGGTGATCCATGTGGGGAGAATATTTTAACTAACCAATG